AAATGTTAATGAGCAAGTCTGATAAGATTCTATATCTGGTATTGGAGAAGTGAACAAATCTGGATGGCCTAATATATTAATGGGTTTAAGACATGTGAGTAACTGCAGCCAGTGCTGCAAAGGAGTGATTTAACAAATTGCTATGATACTTGTACATACATATATGAGCAAGTTCCCAAAATATATGTAATTTAATTAGTGTGGCACCTGAGTAAGATATATATACCCTGGAGATTCAAAATGAATCCTTAGGCTGAATGGATGTTTTTGCAGACATTCCTCAAAATTATAATAAGTCTATATCTTTTTAAATATCAGTAAAAATGCATTTAAGAAAGAATAAGCTTATCAGGAAAGTATTACCAATTACGTAAATAAAAAGATAAGTTTTTTAAAAGCAAATAGGAGTTGATCTCTTAAACTGGAAATACACTACAGATTGTTCCATTAATCTATACATTCTTGGAGGTTTTTGTTTTTTTTTTTTTGTAATTTAAAGGGGCAATACAGTGATTTACTACATTCTTAATTGTAGTTTTCCCATGGTTACAGTTAACATTTTTTGAAACCGATCCTCTTGCCTTACTGTATCTGAGTTTTGCATCTGATGCATTGTGTTCATCACTGCAATGTCACAATATTATCCTCCTTTTTTATTTTGAATGCAAATTTATTGCTGAGGTCACTTTTCTTTGTTCTTACTAGATGACTTTGACAGGTGTTAAAAGTATGATGAATRAAAATAAACAACGCTGTCACACAACACAAGTGTTCTTGATAAATGTGGGTCAGACTTGTAAAATGAGTAACATGCTGTCCCCAAGAAATTTGCTTCTTCACCAGTCCCCCAAAGAACATGACTCATACTGTGAAATTCTGGATATGTGAGACAGTCCRGTATTAGAGAAGTAGCATGTTGCAAAGGAGAAATCCCACTTGCTTAAAATGCCTTAATTGCCAAGATGACAGATATGCAAGAGTTTGTCTTGTATTTCATGTTGAATAATATATTCTCTTCCTTTACCTCTTTGATTACTAGGAGCTATCAGTTCCAATATTACTTATCAGCTTATATCATGTTCCTAAATCTTTGCTAAGTATGTGTGTATTACGTCTGTCTAGGTAAATGTCAATGCTATACAGATAACATATTTTTAAGCTTTGGCAACCTGTATGTGTGTGCTTTCTAGATCTCAGTATATGTCTTCCCATATATCTATAAGGAGATTTTGGGAACTTTATTTATATAGCAAAATATCAACTCCTCCTTTTTCCACATACTATAAATTTCCCCCCACTTAATTATTTCTACAAGCAAGAATGTATATGCTAGTGAAATTATAGAGCAGCTTTTTAACTTTGTTCCACAGTGCCCGTGGTCTGATTTTAAGGATGCACAAGTTTGGCCCAGGAAATCAACATGAGCTGAATGATTGTCATTCATTGTGGAACTTCCATCTTTTGAGTTTTTTAACTGTTTCGTCAAATCCTTGTAGACAGTTCTACTGCTTATTTTGGATGGTGGTTTATTGGTAGCTATCATGTCCCTGTACTCTGCGGTTCTCTTATGGATGATGTCTGAAAAAWGTCTAACCGGTCTAAGATTTCTGCCCTCTGAGAATTAAGTGTACTTGCCCGAAGAAATAAGCTTGTGTGTTTACTGAAACATTTTACTCATCATATCATTTTGTAAGTGTTTTGTTTATCTATTGAACCCTTCTCAGGAAGATGACAACATGCTGCTCTTCTTCCTATCTTATAAAATTTGTCAGGTATAATATACTAGTGACTATTACAGTTACTGATGTGTGTAACTGTTTAAAGAATATGTGGCATGCCAGAGRTATAATGCTGGTCTCTAACATATCAAGGGTAAATATTGAAAGCGAGAAGACAAAGGAAAGCAGAAGAGAGAAAATTCACATTCAGGCTGTGCGGCACAAAAATATAAACTATTAACATGTGTTAATGGTATTCCATTGCAGCCAATATGTCTAATATCAAACCTAAACAATATGAGATAATATCAAGCAATATATTCCTATTGAATAGAAGGAAAACTTTCCTAAGCAATACCATTGCTTTATAATTTAGCACCAATCCTTGGCTATGTGCACAACTTTACTGAAGGAGCTACTACTTTTTTTGAATATATATCTTTTACCCTGATATACTGCAAAATTTGGATGAATTGCAAAACTTGCAAGAATACAAGCATCTTGTATTCTTGCTAAGGTTAGAATTTTCTTACTAAGCTATTTGGTCATCAGTTCCTATAGAACTTAAAAATACTAACTATTTAATCCAGCTTTCCTCACAGCTATTTACATTTGCAGTTACTTTCCACTGCAGCCACCAGCAGCCAACATGCCACTAGGATTTCTGATTCAAATATCATCAATACTTGATATGTTAGTGCTATTATTACTGTCAAAATTTTCCTGTAGAGTTTAAGAACAATGAAACCTATTTTCTCTTTGGAAAATATCTTAGGGCCAAATATTGGTAAAAAAGTCTACTTTCTGTAGGTGTGGAGGATTACTTGATTCAGAATTCTAGCCAGTGTTTGCACAAAGCCATCCTAACCCTAGATGATTTTCTATAGAATTAAAGCTGCTGTAASTGAATGCTTAGCAGAAAGGTAATGAAAACTGTTCTATATTTGACAGGGAATTATATACTGTACATAAAACAGCAGCAAAACACCAATAAACAAACCCTCTTGTTCTTGCTTTTCCTAAAATTGGAAATAAAGCTAAATTGCCCCTTCACTCCAATATCCTTTTTAGAAGCTCTTGAATTTTGCTCACTCAGTAGTATTTGCTGAAAAGGCAAAGTCTCTTCCAGTAATTTTAGGAAAAGCTATCATCAAGCTGTCAACAGTCTAAATTGAGATTAAAAGAACCAAAGAGAAACCTTCACTGTTATCAGAGTCCCAACTAAGTACACTTGAATAGACAGATAACATCTAGAATGAACCGTATGTGGCCACTTCTTTTTCCAGGTTCTGTAGTGATTTAAGCTAATAAAGTCTTATGTTAAATAATGTCATTTTTTTTTTCCTGTTACCTTCAGAACTTCCAGGCTGAAGTAGAAAGCAGATAGTTGTGTATAGATGCCTCTTCTTGATGTTTGGCTTTCATTTCAGAGGCCCCATTGCTATGGGGCACCTATATAATCCTCTGAAATGTTAGAAGACCCCAGCTCACATTGCCCTTAGAAGGAAGAACTCCGGTGCTTTACAGATGAGGACAGATAGGGCTCCATGTTAGGATTCCCCAAAATCAAAGGATTATTTGCCCCAGCTGGAAGACCAATGTCTGTAGCTTTACCTCTCTGGAAAGCAGGTTTTATTACTACTGGTGAGGCAGTGGAGATGGGATTTTCTACTTTTTCACAGATCTGATCCTTGGTATTTCAGCAAATCTGTGTGCATTAATATGCCTGCTTTGCTATATGATGCATTTTCCCTGTTTTTTTTGCTGGTGACCAATGGAAGCTGTAAAGATGATCTGACATAAAAATTGAAAGCTGATCTCTAAAACTAAAAGATTAGTAGTACTAATCCACTGAGTCACTAACCTTGTAATGTTTTAATATGCTATCATTAAGAGTCTCATAGCTATGAAAGAGGAAAGGTTTGTAGTAAGTTACAGCTTTTAACAAAATATTACTATGCTTTTCTGTATTGTGGAATTTTGTGTATCTGTATTTCTTACTGAGTGTTATTCTCAGGTTTATTCTGATAACTAAGTTTGAATTAGTATTTAAACTCTCTCTGCTCTAAGACCTTATAGCCCTTTGTTACACTTAAAGGCCATATTGTAATCAACCTTTGTAACCTTTTCAAGAGATACTTTAATTCTCTGCTTCCTATTATTATTTGCTTTATTTTTTTTCTCTTAGAAATTGTAATTTATTTTTTTCTCTATTAAGTCAGTTTCAGTTTCTTGAAGTGAACACTGGCCTTCACTTACAAAATGAAACATCTTGGTTAAGTACTTTGCAATGGGGTTGTAAGCATTTTAGAACAAGCTCAGTGCCTGAAACAGAGTGTGTTTCACAATACCCTGATATCAATCCACCTAATCTAAAATAAACTCTTAAAAGAAAGCTGTAGTGATGATTCATAAATYATAAAATAAAATTTCTTTATTTTAGTATCTCATTCAAACAGTGTAACAGTGCTGTAACCTAAAAGCAAGATGGTAAATGGTACTTGGCTTTATATTGCTCCACGCCCCACAGCCCTGACTTTTGCAACTGGACAAAGTGTAATTTAATATGGATATAACCACCATAGTGTCTTCTTTTAATATCTTGATCTTGAAATTTTTCTTTTTCTATGGGAAAAGGTTCAGATTTCTTCTTTTTCATTATAGTCTTTTGCTGCTAATGATTCTGAGCAAAACTTCTTGCTACTTTCTTCTTAAATGCCTTAGGTGATTTTTGAGGGTTTTTAATGCTTTACTCTTAACAAATCTTAACACTTCTCTACTTTAAAAAKCAAATGAAAAACATTAGAGGCATTATAATTATTGAGAAAGCCCTTCTTTTAGCGTGTAGGATAGTCAAATAACAAAATCTGATTTTAAGTTTCTAAGGCAAGCATGGTAACTTTCCCAGCTACCAAGCATTGCAGCTTTTCCATTTCCTTTTTTCATTCTGACTTACAGCCTTCCTCCAGCTAAATATTAACATTCCTCTTGCAGAAACAGATTATTAWCATTGCCCAAAGATTTCCTGATAAATATGGCAATTTTTAAACCTGTGAGCTGTATGTTTTATCGACCATACTGTACTATCATTGCGTTAACTGTTTATGCCTAGAAAACTACTTTTTAAAGGATTACAGGCAACCTTAACAAAAACAAAACTCATTTTTCCTTCTTACATGACTTGTGGCTCTGTGTATCTGTAAACACAGCGTACAACCTTACAGGTGCATTCGCTTAGTGACTTTCTCTTACAGTAATGATAATATTTGTTTTATACCACAGGCCTCCGGTGATGATGCCTCCATCTCTCCAGAGATGCAATATACACCTCTGCCTTTGGGATCCAGGGACCTCACCAATCACAGAGGTATAAACTCACCTTTTATTGCTATGAATGGCTGCAAGGTGGCAAGCTTTGCTGTAAGGACTTCTCTCTATATTAGTTATTGCTGCATTGGCACTTTACAAGGAACACTGTGCCTTTCAAGCACTAGATGAGAAAACCATACCTGTCAAGACCACAGATTTTAACTCGTATTAAATAGGATTTAAGGGTAGTCTATAGGGAGAGCAAATAAATCTATGGATAATAATGTGCACTGATTTTTTTTTGTGTGTGTGTGTGAGAAAAATGTAGAGATTAAAGTATTTAAATATTGCTAAGTAGATGATTGCATGCAGCATTGGTAATTCTGAGAGAATCTGTAAACTTTCTAATATTTGTAAAGAGAGAGCTTTTTGGCAATTTAACAGTTTAGGACTATAATTTGAAATGTTAACACATTTTCCTTGCAATAAAATGGGCTTTTTCTCTGTTTTTAAACATTAAAGGGAGATCAGTATTCAATTTCCTTTTTCACAAATCCTTAGAACTTAAAAAGCACCTTGGGCAAATTCTTGAACTATTTCTGCATACCTATGGAGCACAGAGTTCAGGAAGCAGGTGGAAAACTGGAGCAGTGGTGAAGGGTGCATTCCAAGCCCTTTGGCCTTTGTCCCAAAAGGGAGACATTTTATAAAGGTTGTGGCACTCTTCAGTTTGAAACTATAGCGACCATAGTCTATAGCTGTGTTGTATATTTGATTCCTTGGGGTTTTGAAATTCCAACTGTTTTCCAAATTGATATAATGTAAATCATTGGTATGGAAACCAGTTTTGCATAGGATACCTGAGTCTGTGTTACACTTAGTTTTATGAACTTACGGTAAGCTGGTTTTAAAGTTATCTTAGTGAATATTTAGATGCAATAACATTGCATAAGATTAAGGTGGGATGGCTTATTACTTGATACCTACTGCAAGAACCAGACAGATAATCTAAGTAAGGATCTGTGATTCAGACAGGAGAAGGTGAGAAAGACAATTTTTTTTTTTTTTTCACTTTGATTGCTTGTGGGCTTTATCAGTGTTGTTGTGCTAGGACTCCAATGGGTGGCAAGGTACAACCTAGTCACAGTGAAAATTGGTATGCTGTACTGCAGCTCAAATATCCTTGAAATGCTAGGGTGTGTTATATTCTGTCATTGAGGTGAGGCAGTAACTGAAAAAGGACTGAACCAAAATCTTGTGTTTGGATATACAGCTCTGCTCAGAGATTAGTATCCTCCCTGCACCCACAAATAACCCCAAGCACAGCCCTCCCTTTCCAACCGTTAAGCCTAAATTCCCAAGATATGAATTGTGGCTTTAATTTCCAGGTAAACACATATGCTTTGATATTGKATTTCTAGTGTTGGATTAAAGTAGCAGGGATCTAGTATGAAAAGCAAGAAGAGAAAAGTTTGTAAATGCTTAAGTTCTACAAAAATGCTTAGAAAAATAAATCTAACTGCTAGATATCTTTAGATTTATTGTTTATGTGATAATGAATTAGCAGTGTGGCTTCATGGCTCACTTTGGAATCTGATTTTACCACGAAGAAGTCAGCAGGTCTAGATGTCAGAAGCTGCATACCTGAAATACAGATTTGGTTTCTCTTTCTAGGAAGCAGTTCTGTGGCTTTATGTGCTATTAGGCACATATGCCCACATGGATGTGTATTTAGAGCTGGATATTGCAATATCCCAAGTCTCGCTGTCTTCACTAGGATTTAAATGTACTTGCTTTCCTGTTCTGAAAAGGGAAAATGGTGTTTCCCAAATTATTGACTTGTTACCCTTAATTGTTGTCAAGCTTTTTCGTTATTTCTGTCTTTAATCTTCCACAAAGTATTTTCCTTTGCATACTAAACATAGGCGGAAATTTTCCTTGATGATTAAGCAGTTACATGTAAAGTGAATGGAGAAGTGAGTTCCATATAAAAGCAGGGTAAAATTGGCCCTAAAAGAGATACTGTTAATATGCTCCAATAAGTAATATGTACTTATTCACAAGGAAATAATTAAGAAATCTTTCTACAATTCCAGGTGTTATGAATAAAGCTCAGAGCAACCTACTGACAGGGTTTATACCCTCAATCAGCTTGTTTGATACAAAGAAAAATCTCCAAGTTCACAAACCCATAAAAATTAATAGGAATCAATAGAAAAATTTCCAAGAATGAAGTACTTAAACATAGATTCTGAAATCTCTTTCCTTTTTTTCCCCCACTGAATGCTTCCAATGTTGTATGAAATGATTGAATCAGCTGTGGCGTATGTAAATATTGGCAGTTTTCAACCTAAAATGAAAATGCTATAACTTTGTGAATGCTCTTATTTGTCCTTGGAGGAACTTGTTTATCAGAATTTGAAACTGACGGATGGTTTAGTGCAGCTGTAAATTGATTCTTTGGGATTGGGAGGAGGAGCAGAAGAAAACTGAATGTGTTTGGGTAGAATTTTACTTCTCACTTTATTTAGCTATGTTTTTTTGTGGGGAGAGCAAAAACATGTAGTTCAGCATGTGTTGCACTATGCATTTTATCACTTTATAAACTCATGCATTCAGTATATTATTTCCAGACAGGGTCTTTTGGGAYTGACTCCATATTTTGAACATAGTGTCTTCAGGAGTTTTACAAATTCTGTCTCACTTCCAGAGCCCACAAAAATGTCATATGTCAGTGTGGCCTCAGAGTTGAAAGAATAATTCCTATAAATGTTGTATCAAGTGCTATGATGCTTTGAGTGGAGTGTACCTAAAGAGAACAATAAATATTAGATGCACATTGATTTAGATTTTTTTTCTCCATCTTKGATAGGTTAATTTTCTCGGAACCCACTGTGTGGTCCACTGTGTGGACCCTATTTTCATTTACCCAGTCCCACTGTTCAGAATTGCTAGCAAAAAATGTATTCGCTTCCTTGTATGTTTTAGAGACCTGATAGGAATATGATTTGGTCCTACTTATGATATGTAATTAATGTTGCCCTAAGCTTTTCTTAACAAGGKTTTTGTAAAAAGTTCTGGATATCCTCTGTATTTTGTAACACTGTCTATTGCCTGGTTTACTTGTAAACCTACCATCTGCCAAAGCTATTTGACTTCCTGTGACATTTTATAAATGCTTTTCTTGATGTCTTGCCCCTACAAACAACTGATGATAAGGCTGACCGGTGTCTTGCAGGCTGGAGGAAGAAGTAGCAGCTTCCATTACAATCAAGTTTGCACTTATATCAGTAGCTTTAGAGTCTTAACTTGGAGGTCCATTTTGTTGTTTTTGGAAACTGTCCAATACAAGAGGGAAAGACACAAGCTGCTTTCAATAGCAAGGCCTAGAAATACAGTGACTGGGTATTTTTGAAGTTTCCTACTACCTCTCTGAAAGTAATTTTGCACAATGTATTTGAACAAAGGAAAAGCGAGGTTCCTGATGACCCTAGTGTCTGTTCCTGCCTAACAGGGAGGTGCTGAGGCCTTGTTTTGGTAGGAAGGCCTTTTCAAAGGCAGCAGAGGCTGGTGAGCTCAGAAGCTGCTGTTGTGGCACAGCCTGGATCTTTTGGTGATTTTAGTGACCATTCCAGGGATTTGGCCTGGTACGTTTCAAAGGTGGCTGGAATGACCATACAGAATGCAGCCTGTCTGATTTTGCTATGTTCCATCAAAAATGCAGCTACTAGCGCTTGGTCAAGGCAGAAGTACCCTTCAAATGTTGTGCAARTATTGGGCTGTCCAAGTACCAAGCTGGTATGTACAATCCAATATATGTCAAAGGAGACCTAGTGTGTTGAAGGACCATGTGAAACTTTGGAGAAGCAGGATGGATAGATGTGATGTGATGTGTGMTATTCCCAAACTCTCCCACAGAGAGCTTACCTTGCTTCAGCCTACTCAGATTTTAGAAATAAATACTCTTAAATTGATGTGAGACTAATCCCATGCATTGATCCTTCAAGGATTAGGTCTAGAGGTTTAAAGTGTTATACTCAACTTTCTGAAGTAAAATTATAAAACTGTTATATGCACAACAATGAATTAATACATGAAGTCTTTATTTTTGAAGGCTTTCAACTCAAAATAGACACTCTGAAAAGCCATACTGTCTTTAAACCATAGGCATAAAAAGAAACCAGTCTGCATAAAAAAACTTACTTCCAGAAAGATAATTATTGTGTTTATATTATCATCACAATCTGCTTTGTTGTTATTATTGACACAGTTGCTAGGTGCTTATTGTGTGCCACAGTCAGAGGCTTACGTAGAGTTTGAAATTGATTGTTGGGAAAGTCACAAAGTAATTTATGTAGCAACTTATAATTAGTTGGTTTCCTTGATGTGAACGATGCTTTAAGCTTCACAATTGATTTTTTTTMTATATATCTGCATAAAGCATCTCATTGTGTGCTATCCATAAAGAGAATGATGGTAACAGTAAAACTATGGGTAGTATTTTATCTTTTAGTTAGTCTGAGAGATCCTAAAATATTTTTTGAAAAGGTGTATCTTTATACAAAAAAAAGTCATTTAATAACTCAGAATAGGATGAATGAGAGAATTGCAAACAAATGAAATACATGAAAAAGTTCTTCATCAAGCAGATATTGTGATTAGTAAGTAATTTGGTTTGCTAGTTTGTGAAATGTCATTTGAAAATAACGTATTTCTGTCTTTGTGCTGCATGAAACCGTATGGAGGAAGGCAGTGCACCTCTTAGGCCACTGACACTACTACATTAGGCGTTTTGAGACTACTCACTTTCTAAAATACAATATAGCATGGAACAAACTAAATCATGTTTTCCATAGACAGGAACACTCAAGAATAATCTGGGACGTTTGTTCTGAATACCAGGAAATATGTCCCAAAAGTTACCCAAGAGGAATGGGTGGAAATCCTCTTCTGTTGGTGCTCCTATTATGGGGAAGAAAAAGATCTTATTTGACTTACCTGTACAAAATGAGAAAATTGGTTTTAATTCTTTGCCTATTTTTTTTTTAATTTGGGAAA